CCTCCCTAACATTTTTGTCTCGTTTTTATTCGTTGACGAAAATGTCAATAGATTTACGTCATAGTTTTTGTCATTCAAAAAGAGTTTTAGTTTGTTGTCGTCGGTGAAAAAAATGTCGTTGACCACAATTATGCCGAAAATTATTCGTCAACGTAATTAACACTGCTTCAGACGCGGATTTAAATGCAGCCGACAGAAAATCCTGCCGCGCCATTCACATAGTTTACCATTAAATTACATTATATTTGTCCCGAATCATTGTTAATGTACGTAATGAATTGTATATTGTGCATTTTCAGCGAAACGTTTGTCTTTCTGTGGCTCTAATGCATCACTGTATAAAGGTCTGCTTTTATTTGCGTACACTCACAATGAAAACAAAACATTGTGCTTTTGTAAAATAAAGAAAACCGATAGGATGTCGCTTTCTGCCATTTGAGTTTCCTTTCTGTGAACAAATTTAGCGTGTCACAAAAATGAACTGAAACTCAGCGTATATAGCCGAGGCTACATTACTTGTCGCACTGTTTTTCCCCTTGTTTATCTGTTAACTAAATCAAATATATTTCAAGTATTAATTCCTTGTATGTATATATATGTACTGCAGATTATATATATATATATAACATTATAATTTAATAGTCTTTTCATTCTTTTCATCTCTTTCACAATTTGTACTACTGTCTGTAGTACCATGGAATAATAAAATATCAGTACGATATTAAAAAAAAAGTGACAAATGAAGAATTGGAAAAAAATGACAATTTTGTACATTTTTAAAGTTTAATTATTCTATCTAATGCACTTAGAGAGTTCAGAATGAAGAGCTGCGACCCATGTTCTTAACTAAGAAAACTTAAATCAGAAAAAGTCAGTGAATTGACTTGTAGCTGAACTTTAAAGGAGACTCAACCCTCTTTTTATTTGTGATCTACTGTCTCAGTCTAAATTACACTCGCACTGCTGTTTTAGGAAGATAAACTAATTATTATAATAATAATAATAACAGTAATAGCCATATATTATAAAACAGTTGCACTGTAAAATAAATGCAAATGAATGTTTCATAGGTATATTATTTTAGCTTTACACTACAGTAGAGAAATAACAATACTTCTTTCCTAGTTTCTACACTTGAGAGAGATATTGTGAATCTGGACTGCATTTAAACCGCTAGCTGTCAGCGATTCATGCTGCACTTTAAGCTTTTATTTAGAAGGAAAACTCCAGCTTCAGTGAAAACAGGATTACAAAAACACGTCTCACTACAAATCTAGTGAAACGCTGTCATCATCTGCCGTGAAAATAAAGCATAACTGGATTTAATTTTTTTTTACAAATAACTAACATTTAAAAAATTTGTTTATGGGACTTTCGCATTTTATGGATGTTGTCGATCAGGATTTAATTGGATTATGTTAAGATGTGATATTGTTTCTCAGTGTTATTTTTCCACTGCCCACACTGCCTCGTTTTCATTGGCAGAAAGATTATTAAAATAAAATAAATATCATTAATAAATGTTTATCATTTATTTTTTATATTTCATAAAATATATTTAAAAAAATTAAATGTAAGTACAATTATAAAAATATAATTTTATTTAAATTATAAAAATTCAATAATTAAAAAAAATATAGTTACAAAAGTTTTTGTATCAAAAATGATAAAAATGTTTAAAGGAATTTTGGATTTTATAAATGTTGTCCATCACGATTTAATTGGATTATGTTAAGCCATGATATTGCTTAGTACAGAAAGATTATTAAAATAAAGTGAACAATATATTTTTATGTTTTGTATACTTTCTTATGTTTTTATACAATATTTATATTTATTAAAAATATATATTTTTAATTTAAGTAAAATTCTATTCATATAATAAACTATTAAAAATAAAAATATAATAAATACTTTAAAATAAATGAGTAAAATATAGTTCAATGCATTATTTAAAATATACCTAAAATTATCAAAATATGCTAAAAAAATATGAAATATTTTGCTTTTTAATAGGAAATCATTGGAATAACGTGTACCCATGAAATGCTCACAGTAGAGAAATTAAGAAAGTAAATGGAGATAATTTATTCAGATAATGTATCTGAGCAGGTTTGACTCTGGTTGTGTGTTCAGACGGAGCTAACTGGCTGGGCTCGTTCTGTCAGCCGGTGCGCAGCTGGAACGGGCTGCTGCTGCGGCGGCCCATTGACATGGAGAAGCGTGACCTGATCCAGAGAGGAGAGGCCAGTCTGCTGGACCTGCGCAGCTACCTGTTCTCTCGCCAGTGTACCCTGCTCATCTTCCTGCAGAGACCCTGGGAGGTGACGGCTCGCGCGCTCGAGCTGCTGCACAACTGCGTGCAAGAGCTGCGGCTGCTGGAGGTGTGTGTGTTTTACCGCCGTTTACACGGTGCTAGCTGTGGGGCGTTTCAGGTGTTTTTGGGGCGTGTTTCAGTTGTTTTTGGGGCGTGTTTCAGATGTGTTTGGGCAGTGTTTCAGCCATTTTTGGGGGCGTGTTTTAGATGTTTTGGGGTGTGTTTCAGTCGTTTTTGGGGCGTGTTTCAGATTTGTTTGGGCAGTGTTTCAGCCGTTTTTGGGGCGTGTTT